GAGGACCTGAGCTGACACACCAACTCCACCAGCTCATAGAAAAAGTGTGGGTGACCGAGAAAATCCCAGCAGACTTCAAGGACGCCACCATCATCACCCTCTTCAAAAAAGGGGAAAGAACAGACTGCGGAAACTATCGAGGTATCTCCCTTCTAACCTCCGCTGGGAAAATCCTCGCAAGAATCCTTGCAAACCGCCTTCTGCCCCTCTCAGAAGACACCCTCCCAGAATCCCAGAACGGCTTCCGCCCCTCCAGAGGAACCGTGGACATGATCTTCACTGCACGACAGCTCCAAGAAAAATGCAGGGAACAAAATCAACCTCTGTACATGGCATTCATTGACCTTGCAAAGGCATTCGACACAGTGAATCGCAGCGCTCTCTGGACCATCCTCCAAAAATCGGGTGCCCTAACAAATTTGTGAACATCCTGCGGCTCCTCCATGATGACATGATGGCAACAGCCTTGGACAGCAATGGCTCCCAAAGTGACCCATTTAAGGTGGAATCCGGTGTCAAACAGGGATGTGTTATTGCCCCAACTTTATTCTCCATCTTCATCGCTATGATACTTCACCTTGTTGATGGGAAGCTTCCCACCAGAGTGGAAATCATCTATGGGACAGATGGCAAGCTGTTCAACCTCAGCAGACTGAAAGCCAAAACAAAGGTTACAACAACATCTGTTAAAGAACTCCAGTATGCTGATGACAATGTTGTCTGTGCACATTCAGAAGAAGATCTACAAGCCACTCTAAACACCTTCGCAGAAGCATACACGAAGCTCAGCCTGTCATTGAACATTGAGAAAACCAAAGTGCTGTTCCAGCAGTCACCAGCCAACCCCTCTCCAATGCCAGCGATACAGCTTCATGGTGTAACTTTAGAAAATGTTGACCATTTCTTTAGAAGGTGTAGATCTCAGGTGAGGCTGGCATGCTTATCTGCATTATGATAAAATAAAGATTGAAAGGAATTTTAACAACCACTATATAAGAGCGGGTCTTATGAAAATATGGGAGAGACACAAAAAAAGACTTTACAGTAAGACCCCACTGTGGCTTTCTCCCCTAGAAGCCTTCCACAGGAGAGAAATAGGCTGGCAACATTGGCCCACGTATTGTCTCCCAAAGCAGTTGCTCTACTCCGAACTCAAGAACGGAAAACGGAATGTTGGTGGGCAGGAAAAGAGATTGAAAGATGGGCTCAAAACCAACCTCAAAAACTCTGGCATAGACACTGAGAACTGGGAAGCCCTGGCCCTTGAGCGCTCCAGCTGGAGGTCAGCTGTGACCAGCAGTGCTGTAGAATTTGAAGAAGCACGAATGGAGGGTGAAAGTGAGAAACGTGCCAAGAGGAAGGCGCGTCAAGCTAACCGAGACCGCCTTCCACCTGGAAACCAATGCCCTCACTGCAGGAGACAATGCAGATCAAAAATACGGCTCCACAGCCACCTATGAACCCACCACCAGGGCACGGAACTTGGAAGACCATCATCCTTGGACTACGAGGGATTGCCTAAGTAAGTAAGTAAGTAAAGAGTGTATGTGTATATGTGTATATTTGTGTGTGTTTGTGCATATATATATGAATGTGTGCATGTGTATATGTATATGAGTGTATGTGTATATGTATATATGGTGTATTTTTCGGGTTTTCGGGTTTTTAAGTCTGCTCCGCTGGGGTTTTAAGAAAGACAAATGGCTTGTTGCTTACAGAACTTGGAAAGGGAGAAAGGTGGGAGAACGAACTCGTGTCTACTTGAGGCAAGTGTGAATGTTGCAGTTGATCACCTTGATTAGCCTTGAATGGCCTTGCAGCTTCAAAGTCTGGCTGCTTCCTGCCTGGGGGAATTCTCTGTTGGGAGGTGTTAACTGGCCCTGGTGGTTTCCTGCCTGGAATTCCTCTGTTTTTTTTAATATTCCTCTTTCTTTACTGTCCTGATTTTAGAGTTTTTAAAAAATATATATTTATTAAGTTTTTTTATAGTTGAGAAGATAGTGCACATCGAAAGTGTGAGAACAATTTTCAAATAGGAAAGTTAGGAAAGTGGATTGGCAGGAAAAGAAGAGGTGTAAGAGAGGGGGAGGGTAAGATTACAGGAAACTATTTCCATCTGTATATGAAAAAAAAATGGAAAACAGGTGAAAAAAATGGGAAAATGGGTGAAGAAAATTGGAAAACAGGTGGAAAAAATGGGAAAACAGGTGAAAAAAATGGAAAACAGGTGAAAATTGAAAACAGGTGAAAATTGGAAAACAGGTGAAAATTGGAAAACAAGTGAAAAAAATGGAAAACAGGTGAAAAATTGGAAAACAAGTGAAAAAAAATGGGGAAACAGGTGAAAATTGGAAAACAGGTGAAAAAAATTGGAAAACAGGTGAAAATAATAATAAAAATATAGGAAGAAAAACAAATAAACAAAAAGTTGAGACTTCCTTCTATTCTTTGGTGGTTGTAAGAAAAGGCCAAAATTGTTTTTACTTCATTGGAAGGTCTACTCCTTCCCCGTATTACATTGACCTTCTTGTGACTTTTTTATTTCCTGATTTTAGAGTTTTTAAACATTGGTAGCCAGATCGTGTTCATTTTCATGGTTTCCTCCTTTCTGTTGAGATTTTCCACATGCTTCTTGTGGATTTAAATGGATTTTCTGTGGAGCCTGACATGGTGGTTGGGAGAGTGGTCCAGCATTTCTATGTTCTCCAATAATACGTTGTGTCCAGGTTGGTTTATCGGGTGCTTTGCTATGGCTGACTCCTCTGCCGTGCCTTTTACGTTCCTTGATTTGTGTCTGGGCAATGCTACGTTTGGTGGTCCCAATGTAGATTTGTCCACAGTGACCTGGTATACGGTAGACTCCTGCAGAGAACACAGAAATGCTGTACCACTCTCACAGCCACCATGTCGGATGACACAGAGAAGCCACTGAAATCCACAAGAAGCATGTGGACAATTTCAACAGAAAGGAGGAAACCATGAAAATGAACAAAATCTGGCTACCCTTATTTAAAAATTCTAAAATCAGGAGAGGAAATAATGAGCAACACTCAAAAAACGAACAGTCAAACAGGAAGCAGCCAGTCTTTGAAGCTGCAAGGCTATTAAATGCTAATCAAGCTGGCTAATCAAGGTTCCCCCCTCTGTTCTTCCCAGTGTCAACAAACCTACCCATATATTCTGGTATATAAGACAACTGGGCGTATAAGACGACCCCCAACTTTTCCAGTTAAAATATAGAGTTTGGGATATACTCGCCGTATAAGACTACCCCTCTTCCAACGCACGCCAAATAATTTTTTAAAAAAGCATCAGATTTGATTTCAATATGGTAATTTTCCTATTACTGTCCCTCCTTCTCTGCCTCTCAGATCTCACACATGCGCACCTGCACTGCTTCGCTGCAGTCTTCAGGAGCGAGATCTGAGAGGCAGAGAAGGAGGGACAGTAATAGGATACAAGGGCTGGCCAGACAGCTAAGAGGTGTGTTTTTATGAGCCCAGAGCCACTCTATCTCCTTTTTCTATACCCTGGGCACACCGGATGCCTGCAGCTTACTCTGCCCTTCACTTACACCTTCCCTGGGAGGCGCCCCTTCACCTCACCACCGGAACTGCATTAAGTCCATGAATCCTGATGAATGGATTTTCTTCTTCCGTACTTGTACAGCGTTGCCCTTAATGCTTTCATACAGTTGCTGCGTACGGCAGGGACGAGGCTACAGCCATTTTTGAGCTCCCCCCACAATATGCAGCAATTATTTATTTCGGTTGCTTCTACCCTGCCCTTCTCACCCTGGAGGACTCAGGGCAGCTTACAAAAGCAAGGCACAATTCGATGCCCGCATCACATAACAACAAAAGACAATAACATCAGTTAACAAAAACAGCAATTCTGGCAATAACACAATTAACAGAAACAATAATTATTATAGGCAAAAACAACCATAAAACCAACAAGAGCAATAAAACCAATACAAACCTCATTGACGGTCAGCGTTTCACAATCTCATAGTTCAAATTCCAATTCCACAATTGTCAGTCCTTTCTGTCCTATCCATCTGGCTGCCATGTCTAAATGTCAGATTGCCCAAAGGCCTGGTCCCACAACCACATCTTTACCTTCCTCCTGAAGGAGAGGAGGGATGTTGATGCCCTAATTTCCCCCAGGAGTGAATTCCACAGGTGAGGGGCCACCACTGAGAAGGCCCTGCTCCTCGTCCCCACCAGCCTCACTTGTGATAGCGGTGGGGTCGAGAGCAGGGCCTCCCCAGATGATCTCAAATTCTGGGGTGGGACATAGAGGGAGATACGTTCGGACAGATACGCTGGACCGGAACCGTAAAGGGTTTTGTAGGTCAAAACCAGCACCTTGAATTGTGCTCGGAATTGAACCGGCAGCCAGTGGAGCTGACACAACCACAGATTCTCCAATCCGGATTGGAAGTTTCAGCACTCACTCTATAAGACGACTCCCGGCATATAAGACGGCTCCCATGCATAAGGCTACTCCAGTGTATAAGACGACTCCTGCGTATAAGACAACGCCTGACTTTTGAGAAAATTTTCTTGGGTTAAAAAGTAGTCTTATACGCCAGAATATTCGGTAGTATAAAAGGCTTGCTTTGTCCTAAGTCGCAGGCTGAAAATATTCTGGAATAAACAAAATGTGTTCAGATCTCCAAGATAAACAGAAAAGAACGGGAACTCTGTTTGGGGCTTTTTGGAGGAAGCAGACGCGTCTATCTTTCCCTTTGACCATTTTTGCTCATCTTTTTTCTCCCCATTCCTATCACCTCCTACGCTGCCATATAAAATCCAGATGATCTGTTTTGAACTGGATTATATATCAGTGTAGACTCATATAATCCAGTTCAAAGCAGATCATGTGGATTTTCTGCTTTGCTGATCTGGATTATATGGCACTGTATAGAAGGGGGCTGAGTCTTGTTTAAGAGAGGAAAGCAGGATAATAACAACAACAATCTTTGTTTAAGGTGCTGTAAATGATGTGATACAGACGCTCCCCCTCCACCAGGTCAATGGGATGCTGAATGGAACGGTTGTGCTGCCCATCAGGAACATTTCCACATCAAAGACATTAAATAGAATCGTATGGGATTTCCAGCTGCAAAGTGGCGCATGGTTAATCATAGCCAAATTCCAAGATGGGGCTCTAGTGCGTCTGAATAGCAGTGACCGGTTTGGGTCGCGCTTGGAACTGGCAGATGAGATCAGCCTGAGGATCCGAAACCTGGAGAAAGAAGACAGTGGGTTTTATACAGCCTGGGTGATGTTTCGCTTGGCAAAGGTTCAAGCGCATTTGTACCACCTCGAGGTCTATGGTAAGTACCAGATAAATCAACCTCATGGATAAGTCTTGGGCCAAAATTATGGATTTTTATGTGACCTATTAAGTGCTGTAACGGCATTCCATGCAGTCATGCTAGCCACATGGCCTTGGAGGTGTCTATGGACAATGCTGGCTCTTTGGCTTAGAAATGGAGATGAGCACCAGCCCCCAGAGTCAGGCACGACTGGACTTCATGTCAGGGGACAACCTTTACCTAACTGAGAAGATTGCATAGTCAATAGTGAGGGCATCTGCCTGTTCTCTATTTCTCGGAGATATCCTTTGTCTGGGTGGCGTTCCCTGGCCCTTCATGGGGTTCCTGTGTCTGGGTGGTGACTGTTTTGATTCTGATGTTTCTCAATGCTAGTTGCCAGTTTTTGTACATTGTCAAGGGAACAAAGGCCTGGCTACTTTGGAAAGAGTAGTCCTCTCTCTACTTTTAACAGATCCTGTTCCGGTGCTGCAAATTCGCCACCAAAGAACTTCCAGGTCTTCGGTTTGTTGCAACGTGACCTTGGAGTGTTGGCTGTCCGAAAAGGCAGGACTCAACGTCTCCTGGAGGATCGGGGATGATCTCAGGACCTTAGAAGGAAATTCAGAGTGGTATCAGCTCTCCTTCGATGGCTGGCGTCTCCATGTTTCCATGGCGTCCAATGCAACGGACTCCAACTTCACCTGCCTGGTCTCCAATCTGGTTGATCAGAAGCACATCTCCATTGACTTGCTCTCCGTCTGCTCCCTTGAAGGTGCGTCGTTCATGTCTCACATCCCAGATCCTTCATTACACAGATATTGAATGCAAAATTGCCACAGTTCCTCGAGTGTAGGAAGAGCAATGGGGTCTGTGTATGTGCAAAGACATGCATTTGAAATGAAAAATTAATTCCCTTTTATTTATTTATTTATTTATTTATTTATTTATTATTTTATTTATTTGCGACATTTATATGCCACCCTTCCCACCCCGAAGGGGACTCAGAGCAGCTTACAAAATATATATACATACAATATATTATATTATTAGCCTAGTACAATATCAGTATTATATATTACTATGTTGTACTACACTATTATATTGTAATGTTATTCGTAATATTACATGTAATATAAAATATATAATTATAATATTGTATTATTAGTAGGCCTGGGTAACAACACAAAAATTTGTTTCTAAAATCGATTTGTATTTGGGGGGTTTTTTTGTTTCGATATTTAAAATAATTACAAAATTTTCCCTTTAAAAAGTTCGGTATTTACAAAATTTCGTTAATATTTACAAAACATTTTGTAAAGATGGCGCCCTTTTTTCAATATTTTTTCAATATTTTTTTAATTTAATTATTAATTTAGTAGAATAGGGAGGAGAAATTATTATTAAGGAGGGAAGGCAGGCACTCACTCTGGCGGGCCCTCAAGCGCTGCCGCCAGTCGGGCCCGGCTCCTCCGAAGCTAAGGTTTCAGTGCGGAATTGGGAGAAGGGGGTCCTCAAAGGCCATCTAGTCCAGCCCCCTGCTAAGGTTTGAATGCGGAATTGGAGGAAGGGGCTCCCCAAAGGCCATCTAGTCCAGCCCCCTCCTAAGGTTTCAATGCGGAATTGGGAGAAGGGGCTCCCCAAAGGCCATACATTCCAGCCCTCTGCTAAAGTTTCAATGTGGAATTGGGAGAAGGGGCTCCCCAAAGGCCATCTAGTCCCGCCCTCTGCTATGGTCTCAATGCGAAATTGGGAGAAGGGCTCCCCAAAGGCCATCTAGCCCAGCCCTCCGCTAAGGTTTCAGTGCGGAATTGGGAGAACGAAGCACACCCACCGCAAAGGTAAAGAAGGAGGGACGGGCCGCCTTCCCGCTGAGGGTCGCTCGCCCTCTCGCTCGCTTGCTCAGCCGGCGCCTTCC